AGCCCCGGACTCATCCTCCGTCTCTCCCCGTGTCTCTTGCAGAGCTCTACTTCCTCATAGCTCGGTTCCTGACCACCGGGCCCTGCAGGAGAGCGCTGAAGGTGAGTACAGGGGCGCCGCACACTCACCTGGGCGCACAGGCTCAGACCCCTCGGCCATTCGCTGCCGCAAAGAGGATTGAAGGGGAGGTGTGAACAGCCGGTCCCCCCATTCCCCCTCCCCCTCCCGAGCCCTTTCGCGGCAGCAGCCGCTTGAGAAGCCAGAGGCTTTCTCGTCCCCCAACCCGCATTTTTTTCTTTTTTTCTAAAAACTGGTTCAGGAGCTGGAGCAGCACCAGGTCTGTGTGGGCTCTGATGAAATCATCTCGCTTGCTGTAGTCAAAAGTTTCCTTTACTTTACAAGTCATTCAAGTTTCTTCCACTCTACTGTCTGAACTTTTTCCCCTCAACACACATTGTTTTGGATGTGATCTATCCCTCCTTCCCCTTTAACCACTCAGTTTTCTTTTTTTTTTTCCCCCCCTCCATTTAGTTGCTTCCTAAAAGGTTGGATTGGCAAGGAAATGAGCATTATAGAAGTTACGAAGAATTGGTGAGACTTTTTTTTTTTAAACTTTTAATTAGGATGATAACATGATAAAGTTGATGTTAGACCCTTTACCTTTAAAAGTAGGCCCAAAGCTTTACCTTCCAGTTTCATTCTGGCTCTATTAAGACATTGGCGTTATTTTGGAAAGGGCCTTTAATTTCTTTACATTAGACCAACAAAAACACAAGTGGTGTTTTAAATTGAGGATATTGTTTACACAGCAGAGGTGGAGCTTGGCGTTGTGCATTGGTACATGGCACTGCCTACATATAGAGAAGAGCCAATCTGAAGCAAGGTTTCATTTCAGAGTTTCCTGAGCAAGTTTGTTACACGCGTTTTGATTTGACAGTATTTATTTTCTGGTTGGCTTCCTTCAACAGTCCCCTTCAACAGATTAGGAAATGAAATCGCTGTTCAGAAATCAGGGGTTGGCAGTTCTGGTGCCTATGAGTGTGCTCTTTATCTCTGGCTACTCACTGGTCATAGCTTTGTTTCTAAATATTAGAAAGACATGAGTGATCTTTCAAGAGCATGTACTTTATGCCTTCTATGGCAGATGTTGTTTGCTCTAAATGTTTTAATTTATATCCATTTCAGAACAGAAAGCTGTCTTCCTCTTGGTGTTTTATTTTACTGCTTCTTAAATGGCAAAGTATATTTGGCAGTTGCATCTTGTGAAGTGATGGCCTGGTGGTGCCTGCCCAGTGTGGTTTTATCCGGCTTTATTGTAGTTGATCTTGTTTTATTTGAACAGATGTTTATTCTCGCTTTTTTCCCCCTAAGATTCAGACATTCCAGGTTAATTGGCTGACTTCTCCCTTATCTATCAGTTTGTGTATTGTTATAGTTAAATCCCCTTCTCCCTCTTGTGTAACAGTGGAAGATCTCAGAATCATGTTTGCATAGCGAAGGAATGAAATGTTGTTTAAAACACTTTCTTAATTATTTAAGTGCTGCTTAAAATGATAAACTGCATTCAATTTCTTCTATTTGTCAGTGTGGTCAGTTGAGCAAATGAGATTTTAAATTAACACTTTAAGTCACTAAAAAGCTTAGTCTTGCTAAACAGGAATACTGTCAAGCTCTGACTTGAATTTAGCAAACAGGAAAATAGTATTAAGTTTAAAAAGGATTGTTTGGGGTTTTTTTGTTGGTTGTGGTTTTTTTTTTACCCCAGTTCTTCTGACAAAAAGTGGTGGTGTTGGGAGATGTCATGTGTGGATTCTTCTGACTTCAGTGCAGTTTTTTTAACTGTGTTTATTATGCATATACAGTTGTCAGATGAATTCTTTAATATGTGCTGCTTCTACCTCTTTTCCCTATACAATTTAAAAGAAATCTCTACACAGGGTAATAGTATTTCAGAATATCCAAATTAATCTTCTGAAGGTTTTAGTTTCTGCTTTTGAGGGGCTTTGGGAACCTCTCGTCCCACTGGTCTCACTCTGAATGTGCAGAGGCCACAGACAAATGCAATCCTGTGGTGCAATTATTTCTTCTCCTCTTTGTTCATCATGGAATTGAAGCAAGACTTTAAAATAACTGTTCCTTCCAAAACCGGAGTAAAACTACTTAAAAAGGAAATGAATTGCAAGGTTTTGTATGCATGCTTCTATCAGGAATTGCATTTGGAATATATACTTCCTGATGATGGCGTGCAAACAAAATGGTTTATAATGCTTGGCATAAAGTATGCTGAGCTTTCTGTCCTGAACGTTGTGGCTGGTACTGCTCTATACTAATTCAAGAGGGAAAAATTACAAAGAAGTGATGAAAAAGTGCATTTTGTAATATTTGGACTACCAGATATATTTCTCATAATCAATCTTACACATCTGATGAGCTGATTTGCTTGAATATATTTGGCTGTGTGGTAATGTTAACTATTTTACTGATATTACCACCTCCCCGCCCCCCAGGAATACAGCCTATACCCCCGCAAGCTTTATACATTACTTGAGTTTTTATTATTAAAACAAGTATTAGGTTGTGGCTTAAATCGTACGTTCTCAATACTCAGTGTGCATTTGGGCAACTTTTTGTTGAATAGATCTTACATGACAGCATGTGGTATTTTTATTCTCACTGTTCTGATGACGAGATCAGCCTTGTCAGGACTTTTCTCATCTAACTTCAGTCAGTAGGCTAAGGGAATAGCATCATAAACATGAGCTAGTTCTGCCTGCGTCCTGAGCTACGTGGGCAAGAGGCCACATACCTGTGTTGGTGTGGCCCTCTGCCTCTCCTGGGTGTATTGGCTGGGAATAGGCTGGCTGCTGAAGTAGCAGTGTGGCTTCTGGGTCTAACTGGTTTTTACGTGGCCAGATTAGAGAGTGGAGCAAGCATGGGGCTGTTTTTGCCTGCTGATTCAGACCTCACCAATAGTTTAAATTTATGATTTTGAAGGTTTGGTTTACTTGAGTCTGTGTAAACTCTACTTTGTATATTTAACTTCTGCATTATTGTGATTGACTTTATAGTTAGATAAGGATTTTTTTTCATTGAACTCCCAGAAAGAAGAGGGGGGAAAAAATAATCAAAAACTACATACATTTGTTCTTGACTGAGACATCTGAGTGTGTGTGGGGGTGTATTTTTTTTGATTGTTAGATGTAGTTAGTATGGGATCCTTCCTGAATGGATGGATGACTGTTTTGATCCTTTTGGTTTAAGGAAGTAGGGCAGTCTTATGCCATGTAGTACTGGTTCTTCAAGGAAATTATTTCTAGAGAGATTGTACTCAAACCTACTAGTTTGCAGTTTACTGAACAAGTACTGTGGGACTGGAGTACTAGTTGCATAAATTCTTGTGCTTGATTACAACAAAATTCTCCATGATCTTGAGTTATGAGTGTTTGAATTTTATTTTTTATTTTTAATAAAAATAATTGGGTGAATTGGGCAGAGACACTCATTGTAGGGTGCCACACAAATGGGTGCCATACGTGTGAATATTGCAGGCTTTCAGCAGTAAAATACTGATGTGCAGTAAGTAATTTTGCTGCAGTTATTTTTACTACAGCTCTCCCATTCTTGGAGAATACTTGCTAAATTTACTAGCAGAATTGATTTTGTTTTGTAAGTTGAACTTAAAAATATTTAAACAATGTTTAATATACCTGTGAATATTGATGCTTTTAGAGTCATCTGTTCTGGATGTACCATATATATTTTTAAAACTTAAATTTCTGTCAGGTGCTGTCCAACAAACATGTGGCTCCAGACCATTTGTTACAAATTTGCAAGCGTATTGGCCCTATACTGGATAAGGAGATACCACCCAGCATTTCGAGAGTGAATTCCTTACTTGGTGCAGGGAGACAGTCATTGTTACGTACAGCAAAAGGTATGGTTGGTTTGTTATTTGAAATGGGTATGATACGTTTTTGTAAGTATATGGTGAAGGCTTCTGGGATACTTAAAAGCAGCGAGCTTTCACTAAAATTGGTCCCCACTTCTTCTGTACTGTGTTTAATCAACCAAAACACCAGCTATCTGTGTATTAATGGTATAACTAGATATTGATTGTTGTGAAGAGAAGGTTTTAAGTTGCATCACAAAAAATTATTGTTACTCTGAGTGCTGAGGCTGCTGAACATGGCCAGTTTTCAGTGTTACTGCAATATAATTAATCATCAGGACACAGGTGCTACTTCTCTTACATCTCCCGACACTCCCAATAGTATATTGGCCCATGCTGGTTTTGAATGCGGTAGCTGTTGTGCTCTGTTCAGTGCAAATGTGAAACAGTAACACCAGTTTTCTGCAAGTTTTCTTGGTTGATGCAAATTGTATCAAAATTAGTACTTGTGAATTCTGTACATATGCAGGAAGAAAGTCCTTGCCCGTAACTTAGAGGGACTGGTTGGCAATGCATAAGCACATACTTTATTGATAGAGTAGATTTTAGCTTTAAACTTATCTCTTTGAATGTTTCTGGGAGGGGGGTGTTCATGTGTTTGTATGAAGTTCTGTTGGGCAGCTAGATGCTATGATGTGGGACTGGTTTATGGGATACTATTGTGTTTTTCAGTTATCTGTCCTAACTGCATTAAAGGATGCACGCTGAATAATGGTGACTGTTCTATCCTGAAAATCAGGATTGCAATTATTTCAGCGTGAGTGTGTCAAAATAACTGTCAGTGTGGGAATTTTTTTTTTTTTTTTTTTTTTTAAGAATCGCAGAATTGTCGGGTTGGAAGGGACCTTTTGAGATCATCTAGTTAAATAATTTCATACTAATAAATAGTCAATAAATATTTATAATATTTATGAATAATATTAATGAAAATGTTAAAAATCTTAAATGCTTTGCACTGAGAATGAGTAGGAAAAATTCAGTTGAAAAGTTAGTTTTGTGTTATGTGAACTGCAGGGGCATCACCGTTTAGGATTAATTTCAGAGTTTGGTGGTTGGTTGTGTTGGGTTTTTTCCCTCCTTCTGTTGCTATATTAAATGGATTTTTCTCTCCTCTGATGCTACGCTGTTCATGAAAAGTTTTGGGGCATTTGGTGTTCCTATTTTTTTAGTTGCTTCAATACTGTGTTTGAGACCACCTATAGATACGTTCTTTACCGTGTTTTGGAACTGCAGTTCTCTTGGCATTTTTAACATGTACTTATGACGAACTTCAACCAATTGGTTTTAAAGATTGCAGGAACACTGTTTGGAAGGGCTCTGCATTTGCTGCTCTTCATAGAGGAAGACCTCCTGAAATTCCTGTCAACTATGGCACACCACCAAATCTTGGTAAGCTCTTTTCAACACTCATCGCTGCTGTTGTGAGCATACGACGTGTATCTTGATACTGGCCTTGTTACGACGCTGAAAATTGCGCCTCAGAACTGGATCTGGAGGCTTATCTGGGGAACTTCATATGACTTCGCTGGAGTTATGTATTGGGTACAAAGGTCTGCTCACAGCACTAGTGAGACAGTAGCCTCTAGGTGACATCTTTTTCTTTCATAAAGCCCATGTATTAAGTAGATAAACCTACAGAAAATACAAATCATTCTTCTTTGAATAAAAGGACTCTTGTATGATTTAAGGTATAGAAAGCCATGGGAAAATAAAGATAACATTTAGCACTTATTATTTAGAAACTGAAGTTTTGATTGGAGCGAGTTTAAAATACTGTCTTGGTTTTATACATAGAAAAAATTGCAAATACAAAAAAACCCTGACCTTATGAAATCTGAAAGTCGCTTCTAATAAGTCCTTAAGTAATATATTAATGGAAGTTAAATAAAATCATGTTTTAGGATAGACCTGTTTTAAACATCAGTACGTTCATTCTTTGATTTCTTTGTGTTCTAGTGGAAGTACATCGAGCAAAACAATTAACTGGATATGCAAAGTTCAGTACTTCATTTCCAGGAAGTATGTATCAGCATGTCAAGATGCACAGACGGATTCTTGGCCATCTTTCTTCTGTATATTGTGTTGCATTCGATAGAACTGGACATAGAATATTTACTGTGAGTTTATGAAATAGATCCGAATCTGAATATATTTCTAAATGGATGCAAGGAAAAGAACTTTGAAATGCATGTTACGCTAAAACTTCTGGAGGTGGATATCAGTAGTGTTAAAATGTAGCTGATTAGCTCTATCGCCGTGCTTAAGTAGAACAATTTGATGTAATTGAAGGTTGGAAGCATGTAAGAAATTGTTGTACTTAATATCTGGTCAGGTGTCGACATTGATGTAGGAGCTTTATTCAGTGATGTAGTTCGATGTTAAGCATGTTTCATATTCTTTATGAAGTGGCAGAGGAGAGATTGCTTTTACAGAACAGTACTTTCACTGGCCCTTGCCATTACTGTAAGGAATCCCTTCAGACTTGTTCCAGACTTTTTGCATTATATGGTATAGATCTGTGGTGATTGCAGTGTCATCCTGAAGCATAAGTGAACATTTTGGTTTTCTTAATCTTGGTCGTATGTAGCTTAAGTAGCATACATAGTTTTAAGTAGAAGTGTAATGTACCAAGCTGTGGAAAAACATAGTTAGGTTCTTTAGAGGAAACCTAAAACTTTTATCCTGAATGTCTTTGAAAATCCTTGCTGACTCTAATACATATTTCTTTCTAGGGCTCAGATGACTGTTTGGTAAAGATTTGGTCAACTCATAATGGCAGGTTATTTGCCACATTACGAGGACATTCAGCAGAGATTTCTGATATGGCTGTCAATTATGAAAACACTATGATTGCAGCTGGAAGCTGTGATAAAATGATCAGAGTGTGGTGTCTGAGAACTTGCGCACCAGTTGCAGTCCTCCATGGGCACACAGGGTCCATTACCTCATTACAGGTATGTTTTTTTAAGTGTTTCTACATATTGAAGCACAAATAATGTAGATGGATTGTAAGAAGCAGGCAGTCCATGAAACTCAAAGATAAGTTTCACTTGACAGCGTGGTATGGAAAGTTTGAAGGTATTTTAATCAACTAGTAGGAGACAAGAAATAATTTGGGCAAAAAAAGGATGCTGTTGCACCTGATTAGAAAAGTTAAGAGTCTGCTTTAGTAGTAGGATTTAGATTGATGGGATACTCTAAGACTAAGTCATATTGGTAAGAAATAACCAGTTTCCTTGGTTGCTTATTGAAATTGAGAAACATAAATGCTCTACAGCAATAGAGCCTTCTATCTTTGTGTTACAACTTCTTGAAAAGGAAGATTAGTACCCCATTTTCTCTTTTTGTGGAGAAAAGTACTTTGTGGTTGCTGTTACTAGGTTAAAAAGGAACTTGCCAAGCATACATCTTACTTTTTCATGTTGAAGTGCAAAGAAGTGATGTTCTGTTTCCCGTGAAGGCTGGCACGTGAATGGCAAATAACTTTCACTGTGCCTGTCACTGTGGTTTTCATATGACTGAAATTATTTCTGTGTGACTGCCTGTGGGAATATTAAAATCTGAACATATAAATATTAATGTCAAAAATTAGTCAAAACCACTGGAGAAACCTACTTCTTTTAAAAAAAAAAAAAAAGGGGGGGAGCAGGGGGAAAAGTTCCTTGCCTCCCTGAAACTCCTGAGTATTTAGCTGAAGATAATGACAGGAATCCTTCTTCACTTAAAAAAGATCACTACCTGTAATATTTGAGCTATTGGAACTAAAGAGAATTTCTGGGAAATATAGTGTCCTCCTATTGTCTGTTACTGGAGACGTGATATGCTGGTTTATGTGGGTGAGTGTTCTCATCCGGTATGCGATTCTTACAACTTCTGTGATATGGGTCTTAATCTCAAAAATGTAAGTTATTTCAAAAGTGCAAAGATGTTCAGCGTAATATGTTGTGTATTTAAATTTGAAGGCGTTGTGATACTTTATGTGCTGTTGGTAGTCCTTTGGATTCAGTCTCGTTTTGGCCTTTGTAATTAATTATTTAACAGATAAACTAGTAGCTCAATATCCAGATTTCTGTGTTTTCCAGTGAGACAAACAGGCTTATGTTGAGCGGTGAAGAGTGGCTACCTGCCAGCTTGTGAAGTTCAGTACAAAAAATAATTTTGCAGTTTTCTCAAAAGTGCTGCCTCTGAGAGTAATCTTCATATTTGCAGAGTTTCTGTAGTATTCATTGCATTTTTTCTTTGTTTTTTAATGGCAAAGCTCTTACTTGTGGTGTTTCTTTTATTGTAGTATGGTGGATTTTTTTAAGTGTTCTTAATAATACTAAAATTGCAGTTTGTACAATTTATATGGCCGTTTCCAACGATAGTAGTAGTAATTGATGAACAATTTAATCAGCTTGTGTAACTTGTATTCTGTAAAGTTTTCTGAAGGGTAGCTCTGTGCATAGCAATAAATCCACGTCTTAAAGAGGTATGTGTGAGGACTTCCTACAGATTCATATGTGATGCTGGGTTACACATACTCGGACTATCTCATAACTGATGCTCTGCTTAATTATAGAATTTAAAAAGTAAGCCTGTCTAGTGAAACTTCCTTACATTTTTTTTTTTCAGTCTGCTCTGCTTATTACTTCATTCATTGACAAAATTTTTAGTGAATGATTGTGGTTAGTTCGGACGTCAAAAACAAAGCAGTGAATGAATTGGTTTTATATAATGCAATAATTGAAACATAGACCACAAACTTAAAGTATAGGAGATGTTATTTTGCAAACATTAAAAATGATGGTTATCAACAACTGCTTTAGCAGTTTTAGTTGAAATATCCAAAGTAAATCAAGGTTTTACATGAACATTTTTAGAAGTTCGTAAACAGTTTTTAAATATCTTTTTGTATGTGTCTGATTTTACTTTCTTCTTTTTAGTTTAGTCCAATGGTGAAAGGCTCCATGCGATACATGGTCTCTACTGGTGCAGATGGAACTGTTTGCTTTTGGCAATGGGATACAGATTCCATGAAATTCAAGTATGTAAATGGGTTGCTGATTAACTTTATGCCATACTATGCTTGATTAAAATAAGTTGAGTGCTTTTAACTGGCTAAAAAAATTTGATTTTTTGTGATAATAAAAATGTTGTGGAAATAATCTATTACGCAATTACTTTAAAGCACCATCACTAACTATATCCTTTACAAATTTGTATTATTCCATTGTCTTGGGAGATTAGTTGGGAAATATATTAACTTTTTACTACGCTGAAAGTACAAATGTAGGACAACTAGAATTGCTATAAACATAAATATATTGGAACAGTATAATAAAGCTTTTTGGTTTGTGTTGAGTTTTCAGCAGTCCTGTGGTGTTAGGATGTCTCTTACAGAACTTGGACGCAGAGTATGTTCAGGATAGTTTTTAAATGTTCTATATGTGATTGCTGTTTATTTGTACAAAAAAAAAAGTTATTACCGGAAAGAAGAGATATGGGATGATCAGTCTGTATCTAGTATTGTGCCATATAATGGTAGTTGGTATAAAATGGTCCATTTTACATTAGAGCAGCTATTTAAAAAAAAAAAAATGAGTACTTTAAAAAGCAGAAGATTATTTTGCTTTTTAATTTAAACTTGTTATCTTAAGGTAGTAGAGTTGTACCAGAAACTATCAAAGGCATAGCTTCATCTGAAGAATCTTTTTAGGCCTGTAAGTTATAGGAGGAGAGTGTTTGAACTGGATCCTTAATTACTCTCCTAAAATTAATTTACATGACTGTATGAGATGTAAACATTGTTTAAATTAGTTTAAGCATGGACTTAAATTGGTTTAAGCATTGGTAGGTCTCAAAGCAGCATTCTTAGGATTTGAATCTCTGTACTGTCTATCATGCAAACATGAGAAATATTCTTATACTGAAGGTCTCAACTTTTCCTTTAATAAACAGAAAACACTTGAACAGAAAAGCAGTAGAATAATGAATAGAAACCTGTAATACTTATAAGTGGCACAGTTTGCTGGATTTGTCCTTAATGTAGTTCTTAGTAGCTACTTTCTGTGAGATTATGGCCACGTCAGCTGGAAGAGTGTGTACATGACTTGCAGAACAGGAAACCAGTCTTAAATCACCGTGTGCACAGTGTTGCAAAACTTTTACCTACTCTGTAAAATTTTATGATTTTGCACAGCATTCTGCAGTAATGGTATTTGGTAGGCCTTATTTCATGTACTGTTGGTGGTTTGTAATGCGAGGGCAAGAATTCAGTACTTTGTGGATGTGTTATGGAGGGGGTAAATCCTACTTGCCGAAGGATGAGAGAGAATAAATATTCTTCGGCATGTCGTGTTATCCTTGCTAGATAATAGCATCTTGCAGAAAAAGTCGTAAGCTGTGTGGGCTTTAAATGTCATTTGTGTATGTGTGTACAGTAATTTTGAAAAGTAAACCTTATTGCTCATCCTCCTGCACAAGATTTACAGATATTACTGTATGTATTTAAGAAGTACCTCTTATGTAGGTGTTTGAAGAAACATACCTTTATGTTTTGAAATGTTGATAAAAGCCAAGTTTTGTGTGGCATGTCCTGTTTCAAGCATCTTTTCTTTTTAAGCAATCGGCCAGTGAAATTCACAGAGAAACCTAGACCCGGGGTTCAGATGCTTTGTTCTTCATTCAGTGTAGGTAAGTCATGTACAAACTGAGTTTAGCATTGTGATTTTTCTTCTTTCCTCATAAGTAGTTATTACAATACTCTGGTTGCGACAGCTTTGAAATATACAAACCCAGCAGCTGTGTAGGAAGTAATTGTATATATGTGTATTGTTAGCCTATGACATAATTAAATAATGTGACTTGCCTTAGTGAAAGACTGTTGAACTAAGTGGTACTGTTTTCCTTTTGCCATTGGTGATTTTACAGAAGTAAAAGTCACCTGATGCTTGTTTACTTTTATCCATCTTTCCTGGATTTTTATTTTTGTTTAATCCCTTAGTATAATGTCAGGGATTTGCAAAATTAGTTCTGTAAGATACCACAGTCAACAGCAGTGGAAGTGGTTACTGCCAATAGTAGAAGCTCCTGATTCTGTGCCAGTTGTATGCAGGGATGGTCATAAAGATCCCTTCTTTCTTAAGAATCCACAAATGTGTCTATAAATGTGCTTCACTCCTGGCTTGTAGTTTTCTTTCGTTCTAATCATGTGGGTGACTTGTGGGAAGGCTTACTGGTACCAGACAGCATGAACATTGGAAGAAACTTGGGAATTTCAGAAATAAAATAGAAATCAAAGTGTAGCTTGTTAACGTTGTCAGGATATAGCCCTTGGTTCTGTTTGGGTTTGGGGTTTTTTGAGGTTTTGTTTGTTTGACAGCACTTACAGGTGCTAAGAGGCAGGGCGTAGTACTGCTGCCACCGCAGCTAAATACTGGTGTACTTACACTGGCTTACTTACGCTTCTACCCAGTTTTGAAGCAAATCACATACCACAATGAGACATATGCTACAGTGAAAGAGTCATCTAGATAATTCTGATGACTAGCCATATTCCCCATAATCGAAGGCTTCTGTGCGCAATTAGTAGTGTTAGATGTTTCAGCATTCCGCTAGTTATGTATTTTAAAGTCTTTGTAACACTGAGTATGACTATTTATTTTTACTATGGCTGAGAGAGTTTTCTGGGGCAAGAGGGGGATTTCCTTCCATACCTGTATGTCAGTGGAAGAGCATAAAAAATGTGACACTCTACAGATTTTTTTTTTTTTAAACTAGGCATCTGAGAAATGTGGGTGATCTGTTTTTAATTTCTTATACAGCAGCTTGATTGTTGCTTGATTTTTACAGGTGGTATGTTTTTAGCAACTGGCAGCACTGACCATGTCATCAGGATGTATTTTTTTGGCTCTGAAACACCTGAGAAGATAGCTGAATTGGAAAGTCATGCTGTAAGTGAGATTGTTAAATCTAATAATTCACTTCAAGCAGTATTGAGGTTGCAAGTTAATGTTGTTAGTGGGTTTGTAGCAATGTTCTTTTATTGAGTATTTTTAGAACTTAGGCAGAATTTCAGCCAGTCATCTTAATGTGACTTGACCATTTTAAAGGCTGGAATGTATCAAGATGATATTTAGAATTCTGTCTTTTCAACTGGTTGTCATACATTTCTCTAATTTTAAAGCATGTGGTTTGCTCAGTTGCTTCCCTCTGATGCAAGTGTGCCCAGCGATCCACATATTATATGCTGTATACAGGAAGTAAATAGGCTGAGAATGTGGATGTCATTACTCAAGTTATTTACCATTTGACACCTTTTGTGTTAAATCTTTAAATGGGATTGAGTTTCCAGAATTTTACTTCTGTTCACCTTGACCTTTATTCACATCTTCAGTGGCTGTGCAAGCTACTTTATACTTCCCAAGTGATAAGTCAGCTTACTGCTTTAGCATTGTTTCCCCATGTGCTTTATATAATGTGTGCTGTCTTTACTTACTTCCTTGATATAACTGATACCTGTTAGGAAAAGAACTTCCTAGATAAAATACTCTCATTTTTTATTTGTGTACCTTAGTCTAGCAGACTCTGTCTTCTAAGGAATCTGAGGGAAACTTGGCTTATGTTCATGTGCTGAAGGTTGAGTCATTTTTTTTCAGGACTTGATTCACAAAGAACCTGTAGTTTTACTATGGAGAATTTAGATTTAGTTGAACCCTTAAAGCTCTTTCAAGGACAGCTCTTAAAATACTCATCTTCTTCATTTTGTTTGCCTTAATATGTTTTCTCTAATACTGAATCTGACTTTAACCGTTTATGTTACACTGATAAGGCTTGATCAATATGTATTTTGTATGTAGAGGAGACTTTCAGCTCTGAAGATAAACTGATCTGAGTGTGCTATCTACTTTTCGTGTAGTTTTTGTTGTGATAAAAATGAGTAACTAATTGTATATTTCTTTAAAGAATGTGTAAGTAGGAGTGGGAACAACAGATTCCTCTCGATTGTAGTTGGCTTAGGATACTGGAAATATATATTCAAATATGAGTTAATTGGCTGCCAAGTTATTAATGGATAGTTATTTCTTCTGTCAATCCTTCGCATTTAATTGGGACTTTTTTTAAAACTTGCATTTTAAATGCATTAACGGTTAGTGAATTCTGGTAAGTATTTGTTGGACTTGATTCACCTTGCAGTTAAAACTGTTAGAAATGATACAATATGCAGTTTTTTCATTGCTTCAGATTTTACTAAGCTCAGATTTGTCAAAACCATATTTCCCATTTAAAGATATGATTTCTAACAAACTGTACTTTTTCTTACAGGACAAAGTTGACAGCATTCAGTTTTCTAACAGTGGTGATAGGTATGTTGAAAGATGCTCAAATGTGAACAAACAATACATTATTTTGGAATTAGGAATGTATTATTGTTCTCACCTGGAGGTTCCAAGTGAGAAAATTCTACTTACTTAGAACTCAAAGGGGAAATTTGGACTAATCCAGGAGAGCATAGTTAAGTTTCAGCTGTCTGTCTCAGCTTTCTGTTAATTGTTGTTTGACAATGTCTTTGCCTCCTCTTCCCCCTCCTTTCCTTTCAGTTTCAGGAAGTGTTGGATCAAAATAGGAAATGGGAAAATGCAATGCAAATGGTCTAAAATAAGTTTAATCTTTTTCATTTTTTTCTAGCTTACTTCTGTTTTTTTTTTAAGGAAATGGATTTAACAGAATTTTACAGCTGATTGGCGGGGGGGGAAGCGTTGTGTAAATTCCATTTGTAAAACTTCACCCATACTTCTAGTACAGAATGGAGTCAAAATTTATCTCTGATTGGCCTATCACTAATGATAGCCTTCAGGGTAGACTTACATCTGCAACAATAAGTTGCAGCTTTATTTTTATTGCGTTTTTTCTCTTCTTGAAAGCCAGATAACTGTGACTAGGAACGCTAATAATCTACATTCAGTCTGGAAGTTGTAGTTGTCTTCCTTTTAAATGTGTTTTTCTGCAGTTATACTTGTCTTTGGGGCCGTCATGTTGCACTGGTCCATCCATGTTGCCTGCATGAATTACTTTTCAAGGCAGTACCAAAAAAAAAAAAAAGGCAAAACTTCTGCGCTTTTGCTTGGTGACGCTTTGTATGGAAGATGTTTAAGATTTATAATTATTATTAAAATGAATCATAGCAAATTAGAGCTCAGTCATGGTATATCTAGCATGCAAACTTTTTTTGTGGGAGGTACATCAACTGTCTTTCTCAGGGCTGTCATTCATGGACTAGGGATATTATCTTTGGATGTCTTAAAATGTTTCAGTTCCTCTCATCAGGCATTTCCATTCTGCTCTGTTCAGCAGTTCATGAAATGGAAGCCTGAACTGCCGTGGTTTACACCTTGGTATCTTAAAAGTAAACCACTGGTGGTCTTCTCTTTTATGCACAGTTGTGGGTGGGAACATCTCAGGTTTTGCTGTGCTGATCTGTTCTTGCCTCTACTTCAGGATCTGATACTCTACAATTTCAGAGTGGATTACTTAAAATACTTCATTAAAGTATTGTAATTGAGAAGGAGTTTAACTTTGGAACTTGCTTCTCTGTTCTATGCGTTTTGACAACTTTATTCAGTTTTTCAGTTCAGAAAAACTCTCTTTACTGGGCTTCTGGAAAGAAAGTTAGTGGACAGGTAACTAAAGAATTCTCTTGCACACAAATTGAAGATTTCACTTCTATCAGTCTTTCATTGTAATGTTTTAAATTGTGGTGGCGTGCAACTCTGAATATACTTTAAATCAAATTCTTTTGAAGATGACTATCTTTTACAACTTCTTCAAGGTTCATAAGTGGCAGTAGAGATGGAACAGCCCGAATCTGGCGTTTCGAGCAAGCAGAATGGAGGAGTATTTTGTTGGATATGTCCAATCGATTACCAGGGTAGGTGAAATGTTGACTTTTTTAATCTGTTGTGTGAAGTCAGAAAGTTTGAAAAACTCATCAAGCATGCTTACGTACAGTCAATCTAGAGCAATATTATGATCAAGTGGTGGTGGTCTTTGGGGGGGTGAAATGAGTGTTCTGGTGATGTAGTAACTTGGTAAATTTTAGTCTGTGCTTGAATAAATGTGTAAATATTTATATAGCTTTCAAATGTGCACTGTGCCAAATTAATTACATTTCTGTTGTTAGGGAAAAAAGTTAACAGAAAGTGCAATAGATCTTCTCTGTCTGGATTTCAGTCAGACACCTGACGTCACAGGAGAAACATTTTTAGATTAGTAAAAATAAGGTAGATGACAACCTCTTTCCAGGAGAGGTCATGACAGGTAATAGGTGGGTTTCCTCAAGGACTGATCTTGCTGACTATTTTCATTGATTCTTTTGTACTTCTTAAAAGTGTACTATTGAAATATGCTGGTGGCACACAGTTTGAATATTGTCAGTACAGATGAAGATCAGGATATTACATGGCACTGGATAAACCTGAAAGGTGGATGATTTACAGTAGTACAGAATGCTCTGTCAACTTTTGTAGATGCTAAGTAGAAATGAATTTGTAGGTGATTAAATGGGGGGGGGGGAACAAACACAGAAAACAAACCTTGGGTATACTAGTTGATTGGAGGTTGATTGAAAGCTGCTCTTGTGATGTAGCCATGAAAAAAAAAAAGTGGTTTTACTAAGAAAGGAAGAGGTATTAATATTTGAGATTTGACTGTGGCATCTTTCTGGGTTAATATGTACAATTGTAGTTGTGTATAACTGAGAGAGAGTCTTTGTAAGAGAGGCTACTAGTTGATGTGGAATATAGATAATACTGTGTGAAGGTGTGTTTCAAAGAAAGCTTGTTCCTTCAGTTGATTAAGATGCTGAGAGGGAGTGTTACGGTATCCTATAAATGTATTTTCGGGAGAGAAGTGAGAAATACATTGAGATTAATACAAAATATTATCTTTAATATATTTATGTTGGGAATCAGAAAAAAATGCTTAGTTAACGTAGAGGTTAGCTTCTGAAACAGAGTTAGTTGGAAAGCTCTTGACTGTAAAAAGTCCAAATTTTTAAAAGAATTATGTTAGGACTCTAATTGTAGAAGAGACAAGACTCCATGAGAAAGGAAAGCTTTTTTGCCTTGCATCTCAAATGGGAAAGAGGTTATCATGTCCTATGAAATAACTATGCTAGAAATCCAGATTTGCTTTATAGCTGATTGCTCCAAAAAGAATGAAGTTTATGGACAAAGGTTTCAAACCGAATTTAATTCTTAACTTCCCTTCCCTTGTCTGATCATTAACATGGGAAAACAGTTTATTTTTTTGTATTTTGAGATTGAAATGGGCTAATTAAAAATATCTCATGCCTGTTCAACTCTTTAAAATAGTGACACATGTTCAGAAGAAGACAAATTTATGAAGCCTAAAGTAACCATGATAGCTTGGAACCAAAATGATAACTATGTCGTTACGGCTGTGAATAATCATCTGCTCAAAGTTTGGAATTCCTGTACAGGGCAATTGCTTCATGACTTGGTGGTATGTAATTTTACTTGCTTTTTGAAGTAGATGATCTTCCTAGAATTGCAATGACATGTGCAGGCTGAGTTTATGATTAGATCTGATTTGTCTTGAAAGCTCTATACGAATGATAAAGCAAGTGTAGTGTTTCTTGGATTTTTTTTAACCAAAACTACCTGCTTCCTCTTGCATTTGAAAAATCCTAGCTGCTGTGTTGAACTTGCCTCTCCTGTGGAATAAATAAAAGTTTTTGTGCAGTAACATGCTTGCCCATTGAATAGTTCACTGTCCTTTGGCAAAAGCTCCGTATTTCTAGAGTTCTTGCTTGAATCTAGAAAATTATTAAATTTAGAATGATAAAGTCTTTCTGTCTGCCTGGGGTTTTGCACTACTTGTGTGCCACAGGTAGCAGTCTGGATAGATATACTGTGGAATTTGTAAAAATCCATATATTTTTGGAAGCAGCTTATAGGGTCTAATGTTCCAAATGTCTGAGTGTGAGGAGAGGATAGTACAGTGCTTTAGGCTCTACTGTAAATGTCCTATAGATCTGGATTTATGTCCTCTTGTTTGCACATGATGTGCAATTTTAAATTCTAGGGGCATGCGGATGAAGTATTTGTCTTGGAGACCCATCCTTTTGATTCCAGGATCATGCTGTCTGCGGGTCATGATGGCAACATCTTTATATGGGACATTACCAAAGGCACGAAAACAAAGCATTATTTTAACATGGTAAGACCTTTTTTAAACTCCATTTTTTCTCAAAACAAGCAGTGTGTTCACATATAGTTTAAGGAATTGTCACCAAGACGCACACCCTCTACACCTTTTGGAAAAAAAAACCCACCAAAAAACCAACAACTAAAACCCACCAAAAAACCCCAAACCAGCAAAATTTATGAGTTCGTTTTTTCACTAGAGCTTTTACCTTTGAATTTCTTGGTTATTGTAACTGTAGGTGCAAAGTGATCAGGAGCCAGTTTTAACAGTTTAATGTCGCAGAAAAGGAGGGCCGGGATTGCCTCCCTTGTCTGCTCCCAGCTGCCCACTTCCATTCTCTACCTTGAATCAGGTGCCTCTCACTGGACTTTTTAGTAAGCTGAGTCAGTTCAGTGATCTTCTGCAGAACTATTGCCCACTCCCTTCCACTGCTACTTTCCTGTAGGGCTTCCGAGTTGAATTCGGTCAGGGAGATCTTGATAAGCTTCTGAGACAAGGAAGATGAATTGTGAGAATTTGCAGTTGGGTGTGAGGAATGTGAGGTATCGGGGAGCAGAGCAGGACTTTACTTTTCATCATAGTCAATGTCTGAGCTCTTCAGGCTTTACCTGTTGATCAGGACTTCTCAGTCTGTGAGGTGTTGTGAATAGTTGACACCAGGGCTTTTCCACTCTTTGTTACAAAAGATCTTCTTGCACCTCATTCAGAGTAACTTTTCCTTAATTGAGATGAGGTGCCATCTAAAAGACTGAGAGGTCCTGTCTTAGACCATCATTTCAAGAGTCTTACGGACAAATATTTGTATTCTCAACTGTCTTAAAAATGCTCCCATGACATTCGCTCCATTTGACAGCTCATGATAAATACTTTAAAACAGATTATTTTCTCTGAGACTTAAGTTATGATTCAATGTTTGTATTAATTTTTTAATCTTTTTTTTTCTGGTTACGATTAATAGCGAAGTTGTTTGTTTTTTTTTTTCTTTAGCTTTAAGATTCCCTGTGCTTTTCTTGAAAGTGGTTTAACGAAATCAGTATATTAGCTGCAATTTACTTTTAAGCAGTGTACTAACAGCTAAAAAGCCTCAAAAAGCTTTTTTTTTTTTTTTTTTTTTTTTGCCTTAACAGTAAGTTTCCATACCCTTTAGTGCATCATTTAAAATTGAGTGCATCTTTTAAAACTGTATGATTCAGGACTTAAATTCACATGTCAAGGGGAAAAGAAATAAACTGAAGTAATGAGATTATTTTTGCTTTAGTGGAGGTATTTAAGAGGTGCATGACTGCTTTTGATAGAGTAATTAATTTTTGATGCTGCATTATTGTTTGCTAAAAAAATATTGGTCAAATAGTCTTGAGTTTCTTTCCTTCAATCTAGATTGAAGGCCAAGGACATGGTGCTGTTTTTGATTGTAAATTTTCACCGGATGGGCAGCATTTTGCATGTACAGATTCTCATGGGCATCTATTGATATTTGGTTTTGGCTGTAGCAGGTCTTATGAAAAGGTAAGTTCAGCTTTTTATTAGAAGTGTTTATTCAAGCGTCTAACTGAAATTAGATTAGTTACATTCGTTCCTCTAAAACATCATATATAAAGAAGAGGTTTGTATGGGCACGGGATCTACATATAACGGGTTCCTTGATGTCTGTGAGTTCTATTGTACGTATGATTCTGGCACAGTAGAAACAACCAGTGTCTTAACATTTCCCTTGGGAGTATCTCCCAAGAATTTTTCTGGAATACATTTTCATCTTCCAGCCAGCTAATTTGCATGTTAATTGTTCAGCCTCAAAATTACTTTAATTTCTCAAAATAGCTTAATGTGTAAAGATTGGAATGTATCACAAAGTTTATTGCACTACTACCTAATTAACAAAAAAGCAGACTGTATGTATGTTAAGAATAATTTGCTGGTTGATTTCAGTTATTAGAACTTGCAGTTCTTTAGACCTTTCCTTATTCAAACCCAAATTCACTGTAGTAATTTGATTAAAATAAGCAAAAGTAAATATTCATCCAACATGGTGGATTTTGAAATGTTAGAAAAATGTGCTTGTGATAAATGTTTTGCTTCTTTGAATCTATCAGCCTGTTTCCTTTTTGTTTTGATAAATACGTGTGTTTCTGTTTTTTTGAAATAGCTCTCAAAAGTGCAGTTCTGGCCTATGCTTTTCTTCACTTCCCCCTCAATTTTTTTAAAGTTGCAATGGTAATTCCCTGTTTGTTATTTTAAAGAATTATTTTTTTTCCTTGCTCTACATTCTTAGCTGAAATTGAAACTTACTCTCTTTGTCTTGCTCATCATTGCTAGGAGCAAAGATTCTGACTGTGATCTAATACTTGTGTAACCATTTTCCTTCAGCTGCATGGATTTAACAGACTGTTTCAGTTGCAGAAAAAATTTCTGGTGGAAATTGCATGATTAAGAAAGAACTTTACTTTGAGAACTTATGTTGAACTTTAGACAGTGATTTCCTTGCATGGAAACCAAGGAAACTTGTCTTAATTGTGAGGAAAAAAAGTAGAATGAGATGTAAAATATTTTTAATTTTAAGTATAAAGCAGTGCTTCTGCTTTAAGTTACCTCAGTTTGTGGTTTTCTAAAAGCATTTCGTTACCTGCAAAAGCACTATCAAAAATGAGAGTACTGCAACACCCATACAGGTTAATTGTAGGTATGCATAACTCTTCTTATTGGAAACTTGGCCTTTCTTTTACCTTTAAGATTTTAGATATTTTAGTGTCATTTGTTCTTCTCTGTTCTTTAGCATATTCTTTTTTTCAAATTGATAACATAAAAACTTCATTTCTTTCTAGATTCCTGATCAGATGTTCTTCCACACTGACTATCGGCCACTTATTCGAGACTCTAACAATTACGTCCTAGATGAGCAGACTCAACAGGCTCCTCATCTCATGCCCCCTCCCTTCTTAGTAGATGTGGATGGAAACCCTCATCCAACAAAATATCAAAGATTGGTGCCAGGAAGAGAGAATTGTGCGGATGAACATTTGATTCCTCAACTTGGATATGTAGCAACAAGTAAGGACAGTATCACTAAAGACCTACATCCAGAAGTTAGAGTTACTGTGGTAATTCTGAATGGGAATGGAGTAGATATAACATAGGTGATTTAAAAATGCCTTTGTCACATGCTAACTATCGTGTATTTATGTTCACTAAAAATCCTGAAAGGTTCCACAGTGAACATGATTTTAAACAAGCAAAAAAAAAAAAAAGTCGGTTGTTCAAATGGATGTCTCAGTTCTTTTCTGTGGGCATTGACATGCACAAACTGTGTTTGAGATCGGAGACTCCGTAAATGTCTCATTCGGAATAAGCAATTGGAATAGTTTCAAGAACGGTTTTCATTTTGTTTAGTTGTAGAACATGTCTCACTGTGATGTGAACAATGAGATTAAATCATTTGCTGTAGGGTCAGTTAGTTAACTGAACCCATTCATTTTATTTGTATTACATTTGCAAGGTGATGGAGAAGTGGTTGAACAAGTTATAGGCCAACAGACAGTTGATCAGGATGAACAAGGCTTGGAGCCCAGCATTCTTGATGGCATGATTAGACAGTTACAACTACAACAAGATCAAAGAACTGGAGCTGATCAAGAATCTGCTTCAAGTGGCCCACAAAATGGGGAAGGAACACCTAGAAGAGGTTAGTACTTGCTGATAAATTCTTAGGTAATTGCTCCATCTCCATTTTTATTACGCTGTGTGAGATATTTCAAACAGGTTTTAACTTTAGTGTTTTTTTGGGTACTAAGATTCCCTTAACATGGTGCTGTCTGGTTAAGATCTTTTTATTCATTAAAACACTGCTACTCCTGTGATTAAATTACAAACCAAAGCCTTTCACTTTTCCTTTTAAAGAGCATTAATTGTATTTCTTGTAGAGTGCTACATATTTAATAGTATTTGTAGAGTACTCAAATAACATTTGTAGGAGCTACATTTATTCTCCTCTGAAGTTTGCAAAATAAGTGTTTTACTGTTGTTCAAACTGGGTTCGCCTCTCACTTCTTTACAGATTTAAACCAGACGCTCTATCCTTGTAGTTTTAATTATGTGAGGTCAGCTCCAGGAAAAGTGCTTTTTAGAACCTCACTAGCCTCAGAGCTACCTGAAATAGTTCAGAAAAACACCTCTGTCACATTATACTTCCTTTCACTGTATTCAAATAATAGTAGAAATAACCATTTTAAAAGTATGTGTGTAATCTCATTGTATTTTCTACACGACAGATAATTTCCTGAAGGTGATAACTAGTCATATACTTACGATCATGGAGATAAAAATATGTAAGGTGTTAATTTTTTATCTTGTAATAAGAAGAAACAAGGTTCCAATTCTGTGCAGTCTGGAAAATATGTTTTTGTTTGTATATTTTAGCTTTTAGAAGACCAAGTTTTGACATCCAGTCTCCTCCCAATATTGGTCTGCGACGTAGTGGGCAAGTTGAAGGTGTGCGTCAGATGCATCAGAATGCTCCACGAAGTCAGATGGCTACTGAGCGAGACCTTCAAGCTTGGAGACGAAGAGTAGTTGTACCAGAAATACCACCAAGCTTACTCAGGTCTGTAGACAGCTTACTGGGCTGCAGATATGACTAGAGAGAACACATCACGTTGTTTTTTCTAAATCTAGTGCTATTAGACCTGCGCTAAAATAGATACGTGGTACAGATTGAAATAGTTCAGTGTTATGGTCAGCTGTGCTTAAAAACTTTTAACTGTAAAGTCCATTCAACAAAAATAAATGGAAGTTTCTCAAGTTTAATTGAGAATGATTCTCCCATGTTTCAATATTTTAAGCATCTTAAAAGACAGCTAGTTTACCTAGATCTTGGTTTTTCCAGCATAAAGGGTTATAGGTTAAATTCATTTACATGAAAGACTTTGAGAGATTGTGCTTTTGTGGGACTTTCTGGAGGTGATGTGTTATGACCAGAAGCAACACTGAGCACTTGAAATGCTAAAACAGTTAGCTGTTTTCAAAAGTACTATCGGTATGCATCTGTGAAAAGCAGAATTAATATCGATAGCTAAATATTTCTTTTTAATGGTACAGCCATATGTGCTGCCACATCTCTGAAGTTTTTAAAAAGCTTTCCTGGTGTTTGGAGGTAGAATGATTGCAAAGGGAAAAATGTGGATTAAAAATGGGGTTGAAAAAGTTCATTATATTCTGATATTTGCAAGGAAGACTTTCTTAATATCCATCTTCTTTACTCTATCTGGAAATGACAGGACATACGTTATAGGTGTTTGAGCAATAATAATATCTGAAATTAATAATGTAATGAAATTAGGTGTTAGGGTATTTTTAGATAGATCCTTTAAAGAGAACGGATCATTTAACTTTTCAGCATTGTCAAAATAGATGTAGAATTAGATGTTCATTACTTTCTTGTAGGAAGCAGGAAGAATATCGACTTGCAAAAGGGGAAGAAGAGAGAGATCTTTATGCAACAGAGAAGAAAAAATCATTCGAGTCATTGGAAAAGGTATGCAGCAGCTTCTAGGAAAATGGGCATTTTGTGCCCAGGGACAAGTCATGGTTTAAAAAATGAAAGCAGGCATTTCTGAAGGTGTGGTCTTCAAAGGTTAAAAACCACTTATTGCAGGACAAGGTTTGTTTTATTTTTATGAATACCTAGAATTCTTTTTTCTTTCAGTCTTACTTCCTTCCATCTAAGGTATTTGGTAGTAATTTCTAAAGGCAGGCTTGATTTCAGGTCATTCTGGCTTTACTGCAGTTAAAGTTTCAAAGACAGTTGTTGCAGGTCCATGCTAAAGCATTGAGGTGCAAGTGAGACTGTTCAAGGTCCTATATTTGAAGAATTATAGGCTATATTGCTATTCCCTTGTCATTTTACTTTAGATGACAATGTTTTGTGTATGGGGCAACTTTTTCAGACTTGCCCCATTTTGAATGATTTTTTCATTATCTGTTTTTTGGAAGAGATCGGTAAGAAGGAAAAATTGGTTATTGTACTGTTTTTATAAGATAGTGGCCTGATTCACTGTGTCTTGCAGTACAAAACAATCTGATGCAAGAATTCTACTGCATGATCCCCTTTAACCGGGGGGAGTTGAGGATTTCTGGTCCTCTCAGAATCGCACATTCTAGGCAATTAATGTCTTGATTCCGTAAATATGCTTATCAGGTAATGTGAACGGGCCTGTCACAGTAATTTATAAGGAGCAATTTCTTAGAACAACTACTAAATCTTAAATTGGGAACAGCAACTTTAAAACTATTGGCTTACAGGAAAACTACTTCTTGTGAAAAGGAGTTTTGATGTGATCAGGCTGTGATGTGATAACGCCATTTCAGTTTTTACATTCAGCAGTGCTTTTAGCTACCCTTTCACCCCCATGAAAGTTTGCCACATAGATACTTTTATGTAACTTCTTTTTTTCACTTCCTGTATAAATTAGAGTGACTCTGAGTCTTCATTAATACAATCTAAGCGTAGACTGCATAGACGGAAATATCCGAATTACCGAACACGGAATAACATTGAACAGCTGGAGTCTTCTGATGAGGAAAGAGATAACTGCTTTGGCTTGATAGAGCAGGTAAGTTCTCTTCTGAGTTCTGTATTTTGAAATTGAGTTCCTCAATAAGTGAAGTTTCATGTAAATGTGCCTTTTCTCTCTTAAAACAAACAAGCAAACAAAAAAACCCCCTCGTTTACCAGGGAAGGTATTTCTGTAAGCATCATTATTGTTAGCACTTCTCAAACCTATTTATCTGTTGCTTTAATAATGGCAGTCTTTCCTGTCATTTTATAAATGGCTGAACTATTTTTGCTGAGAATCTTCTAAACCAAATCCACAGCCCAAGGCAAAAAACTGATGTACAATGCTGAGGTTGGCTTAAAGCGAAGTTTGGATTTTAGATGTCTTTTGCTGTTTCTCTGCAAAAACCTTCCAAATTTGTGCACACACCTGAAACTGGAAATTTTGAAGGTTCTCGATAAAGCATTGTTACGGCCTGGTAATGTGTTCTTCCACAGAGTCTGTTTATCCTGGCTGAGTCCTGGCGTGGGGTGAAACAGGACTAATTGGGTGTATTCATGCATGTATTTAAATGTAAAACTAAATAGTCAAGATACATCAAAATATATTACAACTTATTGTTCAACAATTTATGTGCATTAACATCATGTTTTAAATGTGCTTTCCATAACTGAAATGACTTAAGTAGAATGCATTGCTCATGTCTCAAATTGTATGTTGTCAAGGAAGAAAAAAAAAACAAACCAAAAAACCATAAGAAAACAAGATTTAACTTGCAACTTCAAGTTTGATACTGTTTGAATTAGTCCAACTGGTTATTTGTTTGTCATTTTCACAGTAAAAAAGTTAACAGTCTTCCCCTAAGACCTGTTCATACAGTGTGCAGGATGGACAATACTAAGTCAGGTCTTCTCTTTTATCCTACCATTTGAAGGATTAAAACAGAAAAATCACCTGATTCTAACTTGCATAACTAATGACAAAAAAAATCATAGAAGTGTTAGTCCTGTAACAGAATATACCCATGTTGTATGCGGCTGGGAGATGTGATAGTTTTCCTTGTTTTGTTCCTTTTGCAATCTTTATATTCTTCCTTTGCATTCTAGTGAGCTAGATTTTACAGTGTACTTTGCATGACCTAATTGCAGCATCATGAATCTGGAATTTGAAGGAATCAAAATCGCCCGCCACTTTGTTCTGATAAATGATGTGAACTTATTCTTAGACTAGAAAAAAATAGAACTATCATATGGTAGGGGGATAGAAGTGTTGCTTTGTGAAGAGTTGCTACAGCAGGTGGATCCACATGTGGCTAATAAAATGTGAGTGAATATACAGAAGTTCATGATAATAGTGCACTCCTGAGGTTAATAGGGTAAGATGAAATCAGCTACAAAAAAGAACTACTTTCATTTCCATTTTAACAACTCTTTTACCAGATTTCTTTCTAACTTGATAATATGCAGACATAAATGGAGAATGTTATATTTCAAACCCTTAAAACATGTGCTGTGAGAAAGTTTTGGATTGACTGTATATTTTTAAATTCAGGAAGCTGAAGAAAGTGAGGGCTCTGGCTCATCTGATGAAGAGGAAGAGTGGAGAAGTGACAAGAAAAGCAACAGTAATAGTTCTAGGTAAAAGCGAACAAACAAATCCCAGCTTTTACTGTAATGAGTTTTACTTGAATTTTGGCAATTTAAAAGTTGTATGGAAGTTCTATTGTGCTTCGTATGTAATAATATTTTGTAGGGTGCTGTACTGGACTGACACATTGCATTGTCATTTAGTGTTCCATTTCACCAAAGTGTTTCTGTCTTCTCATGTAGTTTCAAATCCTTTTGCTTTTTTGCTAGATGGCAAGGAGAAAGAATATAGTTTGGAATGTTCTTTATAGCGTGTTTTGTTCTGTTGCGTTTTTGAGGGGTGGGGGGTTTTGTTTGGTTTGGGGTTTGTTTTGTTTTTTTAATAATGCAGCAACAGTCAGTTGCTTGCTCTTACAAAAATGTTTGGTTGAAAAAAAATGTTAATTTTGATGAAGTTATAATTTTAATTAGAACTGAAGTTATCAATAACTTTTTAATCACTTTACTATGGCTTTATTACATATTCTTTCTAGAACTCTGTAGTAGTATAACTAAAAAACACAGAGAGAGAGAGAGATAAAAAAAGCAAATTTGTGAGATTTGTATAACTGTCTTTAAAGAATTTAAGTAGTGTTTGGCGTGTGTTCTTTAGGGAGGGCTCTTAACTATTCCAGAATTTCATTGCACAACTGTCTTGAATAAAATTACTGATTTTAGAACTCACCAAACTTGAGGTTTTTTTAAAAAACATGCTTTGAATTACTGTGTTCCCAAAAAAATATGTTAAACATCAAGTGAAGTAATTGTTACAACAGTTCGAAGTAATTTTAGTTCTTTTGATAGTGCTTTCAACAGCAATCTATCTGTAGATACTTGTCTGGGAGAATTTAGCATTCTGAAATACTGACAACTTGGTTCTATGTTTGTATTTTCCCTGATCCTATCCATTATGGACAGTGATACTTCAAGTAGATACTCTGACTGGATCGCTGATGCAGGGATTAACCTACAACCTCCTGTACGGACTTCTCGACGGAAAGCTATCAGATATTGCAGTACTTCAGAAGATGAAGTATCAGCAGAGAAATCATCTCCTCCAAAGAGAAGAAGAAGAAAAAGGAGAAAAAAGCCCAAACCAAAAAAGCAGGAGGAGGTATACAGTTAATGTTTTCTACTTGCTTTTTAATAAATTTCTCTCTTAGGTTTTTAGACCTCTTCACTGGAAACTGCTAAAGTAATTGTTATTGCCGTTGGACAAGGATATTGGTATCATTGCGTACAAGTGTACCCTTAATTAATTTGAGACCATTCCAAATGCAAGGTATCTGCTGATTTGTATGGAAGAATCGGCAAAAAGTCATTTTCACTTTTCAAATAAAAAGGGTTCTCAAGGTTGTTAGTATCAAAGGGAAATGTGATTATTAAATAACTGTACAGAATATTGCACTAAAACCCTGTTAAACTGTCTGGTTTTAAGTAACGTATCTTTTTAAAAACTTATGGGATATAGTCACTGTGTTTATGGTGGCTATTTATAGTTGGGTTGAATTTTTATTTTTTTGTAAGTTACAATAATTACTCTCTTTTAAGTTACCCAAACTTTTAAGTTAATTTAAATAATTATCCTTTTTTAAGTTACAATAGCTTTTATTTGCCATTTTCTACCATAAAGGGGCAAACAGATTTTTTTTTTTTTTAATTCTTGGGATAATTTTGGTATGTTTTTCTCTCCATCCTTTCACTTTCTTCCAAGTATTCTCAAAGTGATATTTTTGGAACTGTTTTAATATGGATATTTAATGTGCAATATCCCTCATAATTTTTCATCTTCAAAGTTTCTTGCAGCTTGATAGATTTTTAATTGTGCACTGAGACTATAAAACTTTGTTTCTCTTAAGACCTCTATAGTTGTAATGTTGCTCACTCAGATCTTTAGATAGGAAAGGCATGCTTAGTATTAGTACTACAAATACAGTTACAACTCGAGCAAAGCCTTGGAGGAATTTTGCTAATAGGTTTTGGAAATGTACATTAGTCTTTTGTAGGTTAAGCTTTTGTCTGCGAAATTAAAATGGAATGAATTGTTCTGATGTCATGTGAGCAATATGTCCATTATGTCTAATTTTGCTCTCTATTAAATGTGAAGGCTAATGCTGCAGCACAACCAGTAAACTTGGAATTGTCATATGATTGGCATCCTCCCATTTGGATAACAGACACAGCTCTTCGAAGGTCCCCTTTTGTTCCTCAGATGGGCGATGAGGTAGGAATATTGATTAAAATCTTTAAATGCTTGTATTAAGTAACATTATTATAGTTACTAAATATAGGATAACATCTACTGTTCGGGTTTTTTTGTTTTGTTTTAGGTAATATATTTCCGACAAGGACATGAAGCTTACATCGAAGCAGTTAGAAGAAATAACATTTATGAACTGAATCCACACAAGGAGCCATGGAGAAAAGTAGTCCTGAGGGTAGGTCTGCATTGAAGATACTGTGGGTTCAGTACTAGCAGTCTGTGAATGAAGAGCTGTATTACACTGCGTTGTGGTTTAACACCAGTCAGTGACTAAGCACCACACAGCTGCTCACTCACCCTCTCCCCGGCCCCGACCAGTGGGATGGGGGAGTGAACTGGAAGTGCAGAAGTAAGAAAACTCGTGGGTTGAGATAAGAACAGTTTAATACTTGAAAAAAATTAATAATAATAACAATAGTAATAGTAATAATAATAATAATAATGAAGAGGAAAACAAGAAGAGAGAGAGGAACAAAACCCAGGAAAAACAAGTGATGCAACTGCTCACCATCCGCTGACCGATGTCCAGCCAGTCCCCGAGCAGCGATTGCTGCCCCCCGGCCAACTCCCCCCAGTTTGTATACTGAGGATGGCGTCATATGGCATGGAATATCCCTTTGGTGAGTTTGGGTCAGCTGTCCTGGCTGTGCCCCATCCCAGCTTCTTGTGCACCTGGCAGAGCATGGGAAGCTGAAAAGTCCTTGACTATGTAAGCACTACTTAGCAACAACTAAAACATCAGGGCACTATCAACATTATTCTCATCCTAAATCCAAAACACAGCACTATACCAGCTACCAGGAAGAAAATTAACTGTCTCCCAGCTGAAACCAGAATACACTGTTTGCAAAACATTGGTTTGTGAGGTTATGCCGTTTCCCATAATGTTTCCCTATGGGAACCATAAGGGAAAGTGTCTTCAATTACCAGAGTATCTTCAGAGTTACCTGTGGGAAGCCTGAATATAAATAGCTGTGTTAAAATTGCCAAGTCTGGCAGACTGTCTTCCATTGAAATCTCAAATACAGTTTCAATATTTTTGGCTTTTTTGGATGTAGGTATAATTCATGTGCTTGGTTAACTAATATTTAATTAATAGTTCTGTGCATAGTCCAGAAGGTAATACTTGCTGAAACTGTTTGTTCTTACCTGTAGGATCAGGAATTGGTAAAAATTGTTGGAATTAGATATGAAGTTGGTCCTCCCACATTGTGTTGCCTCAAGCTTGCCTTTATAGATCATGCCACCGGAAAACATACAGACAAATCATTTTCCATCAGGTGTGTGCATGTTTATTTTTCTGAAAAGTATTTAAAAATACATTTCTTCTTAAGCTTCTTCCTAAAGCCCTAAGGCACACAGATGAAAGGGGTATATTTTTTTTATCTAGATACCATGATATGCCAGACGTTATTGACTTCCTTATATTACGTCAGTTCTATGATGAAGCACGGCAAAGGAACTGGCAAGCTTGTAAGTGTGTTTCCTAAGTATTTGGCTAAACGATTTTAAAATAAAAAGTTTGTCCTTGGCTAATTGCTGAATATGCTAGGTGCTACTTGCTTGTAACTTCAGAGGGCTCTCTCGTAGGTAAGGTCCCTTTGCCCATTAGAAATTTGAGCCTACTAACTGCTGTACTAAGTATTTTGGAGGGATTACCATAGATCTAAGATACAGTCTTCAAAACATATATTTGAGACTGTAGTGTTCCCTTTTCTTACTTTTTAGCTAAGTAGCAAACTTATTTAGATTTTAGCACTTGTATTTTTTTGGCATAAGAAGTTGTCTCATCTTTTATTGAATATCAGTGGGTTTAGAACTTTTAACTGAAATACATTGATCAAAAGTTTTTCTAATTACATGTAGAAGAAGCATAGAAGAAGCATAACTTTTCTTAGTAGAATATCTGAGCAGACTTTTTTTGCTCTAGCTGATAGGTTCCGATCCATTATTGATGATGCATGGTGGTTTGGAACAGTGTTGGGTCAAGAACCGTATCAGCCTCAATATCCAGATAGTCACTTTCAGTGTTACAGTGTTAAGTAAGTATAAAAAGGTTTTACACTTCTAATGTTAGTATTGTGAGTTGCCTCTTACATGGCTGGCTTATTGGTATAAGAATGTCTAAGTTGTTCAAATGATTTTACTGGTTGTATTATCACTTCTTAATCGTTTCAGGTTGCTAATTTAGCACAATGTGAATATGTAATAACTTGTGGCAAGTTTTTACTGAATAGTAATATGGTAGAAGAAGTTACTGACCTCTTTCACATTTGCGAATCATTTTCTGCAATGACTAGTGCTGAATCTCTTCCACGAAGCAAGCAATGCAATTTCCAGTGTACGTTAATTACTGTTCTTCATTGATAATTGGTTTTGGATGGGGCATGCTGAATCTCTTCTGTTGTTGCTGACATCATGATCCTTATGCTGCAAGTTCTTACACTTCTGTCTTTCACATTATACTCCACAGGAGCAAGTATTTGTATAAGATGATCTCATGCTGTCACTTGAGACTCCTGTAAAGGATGTTTCCAAATGTTGCTCTCTCTTCATGCTTGACACATGAATGTGAAGACAGAACTTGAATCTCTTCACTGCCTAGTGGTATTCTGCCATATTCCCTATAGTGTAGATTCCACTTGTAATTTCACCTTCTGATTTCCTCTTTGGGTCATATTTAGCTAGATAACTGACAGGTAATGTAGCCCTGTGTGACCTGTAACAGACAAATCCCTTTGACCAGTCTACTTGTCAGGAGATAATACGTCCTAGATGAAGGCATATAATATCAAGTGCATTGTTCAAAACATGGCAAATTGTGCAAATGAAGGGTATTAGAGTAGAAAAAAATAACTGCTTAAAAAGGAAAGGCCAGGAACATCCGAGTCAAACTGGTAACAAGATAGTTGGACCCATACCTTCTTTATGAAGGCGTGTTCTGAGAAATGACCCCCTGCCATCCCTCCGTGACGGTTTGACATTAGTGGTGTTCCAGTGCACCTTCTTTCATATCGACAAAGAGGTCATGCACACAAAGGAGAAGAAAGGTGAACAAAGATAACTCTGGACCTAAGTGTTCAGAATCAGGATATTGTCCTTGTCCTACCCTGTCCAAGTTGTTTGGAATGGTTCTGGGACCTATCTTGCTTTGGATTCCCCCAGCAAGGGAGAACTGTAAGGAGGATAATCGGTGAATACATAATATTCCTATTTCTATCACGACCAGATATTCTTCCCACGTCTTTTACAGTATATTTGATATTCAGAGTTTCATTGTTAGAGGGCTTTTTATTTTTTTTCCCTCGGAGGCTTTTGAACCTGTCAGTCATCCCAAAGAAAGGAAGTACTTGTAGCTAATAGACAATTCTGTGAGACTGCCAAGATTGTGTAACGTATTTTGGTTCCTTGTCTCATCTACTTTACTTGTCATCTATCCTGTTGATTTTCCTTAGTGGGAAGGTATAAGTAACTTCCAGATTGAAGTTCTTGCCTGTATGCTTTTGGCAAGTGAATTTTCACTTTTGCTTCTACAGATACAATTAGCAAATTGGCACTCTTGATGTGCCATAAATAAAAGTGGCATCAACATTAAGTCTCTACAACAGATGATCTGACCATAAAGGACATCTTCATGTTCCTAAGAGTGATAAAGCTAAGCCTGCTCCACATATAAAGGATCTGTCAATATGTGCAAATACTTGTTTTTTCTTTCTCACAGTTGTTTGAACACCCACAACGATAAAGTACATACAGACGAAAACCTGAAATCCAGAGTATCTGTACATGGATTTCTTGCCCTCATTTAATTCTCCTTCGGACTCTTCTCTTACCTTAAGAGAGGATCTTGACAACCTAAAATGATACTGGATGCTTACTGACATCTTACTCATATCCCAGGCATGAGGGATAGTACGCTTGGAGCATATCTCCTGCAGATGATGTAGGGGTAAAAACATTCAAGTTACTGGCTAGTATATTTTCCCTTGTTTTGTAAAATGATGTACGGAGTAAAAATCCATTGAGTCTAGATACCAGTATGAAAATACAACTAAATCTTATTTTAAAGTACTAAATTTTATCTGTTAGATAGCTCAAACCCTTTGATATACTACCATGGGGAATATATGTTAACTTACATATGTTACACCTTTCATATGTTTTGTTATGTTATCACAGTTGTTCCTTAAGAGTAAGTTTAGATGGGGTTTTTGGTTGTTTTCTTGGCCTGTTCAAAATCAAGTTTCCAGTTATGAAAAAGAGCCTGTAGCCGATTTCCTAGACTCCTTTCTTCTGTGAACGCTAAAGGATATTTCAGTGTTTTAATGTACCAGCCTTTAACAGAGGAAAGTCTAGAGCTGCTTTGAAGTTAGCTTAATAATTGAATAGGTAAGGAATGCAGTGCTCTTTAAAGAGCACTTTCGAAAGAGAGCTCCTTAAAGATATCTGCTGGTTTTGTAGAGAATGTGACTCTGTTCTACTTGTCTACTTTGTTGACTCATAAACAACTCTTCTAGAGAAGATTCCTAAGATACGTATATGAAAAAGTCTGGAGTGTTTTGCAGGTATAGTCAGGTTTTGTGACTTGGCTGGGTCCTTAGCTCTTTCTGAAAATACGGTCCTTTGTTCGAGAATCTTAAATCTTGTCTACCCAAGAATCTGCATGTGGTTCAGCAGCAGTAGCTTTCTAATTTGCATTCATATGCTTTATACATTGGATGCAAAAAGATTTAAAAATACATTTCATTTTACATCTGTTTAAATGGGAAGAAGCAACCTAAACACAAATGGTTGTGACTCTGTCTTGGAAAAGCTGCAATATGCTGTCTCTCTTCTTCACTCAGGATTTGTGTTATGGTGCTTTTTTAGATGGTAGAATTTTGTTAATCCAGCTGAGTTTGAGCATCTGCAGTTGTTCTTTGCCACTTCTGAGACAAAGAGCTTTATTGGAACAGAAGTGCTTTTTATTTTATACCAGAAACAACCTTTGAAAGTTGGCTTCAAAACACTCAATGATGGAGAGTGTGGGAAACCACATTTGAATGAGATGAAGGGGAGTAATTGCCATGTAACTTAATTGAAAGTCTTATCGGTAACCAGGTTGTCACACACTTAGGAATCACCTCAAATTATCACCATTACTGTTGTATAGATAATAAATAAATCACTGTTGTATAGATAATAAATAAATCACTGTTGTATAGATAATAAATAAATAGAAGATGTATAAATTGAATGTTTTGTTATTTTATTGGCCAGACAAAAAGACGTATTTGTGTAGAAACAGCTTTATATATTAAGTTGCATTACTTGGATGAATGGAGCTCAAGTGGAACTAAATGGAGCTTAAGCTGTACTAAATTGTATTGATAGAAGTAGTATATACATTTATGAATACCAACAAACTTCTGTACATTAACTGGTGAGGAGAACTTGACAGATGAACTTTCAGAGCCTTCAGAACTCTTTTAGTTCATAAACATCAAACAGGCTGAATGTGGATGGATCAAAATTTTCCTAAGTGGATGGGTAATCCAAAATAATGGAGCAGTGCTCTTGCCTGAGCAAAGTTTTAGTTACAAAATACTCTGAGGATGAGCATCCCAATTTTCAGTTTGTTTGAAATAAGTACACAGGAGGTATTAGACGAAATATCTAAGTTTATTAAGTCATAAGAAGTAGATGGCATTCACCCAGGCATTTGAAGAACTCTGATATGAAACTCCTGGCAAGGTTGCAAACTGTCCTACAGTTGGACCTTGTACTAGAGGACTGGCAGATTGCTATTGTAACTCCTGCCAACAAAAAAGGCTCTGGAGGGAAGTTGGTGAACTGTAGACTGATATATTTGACTTCAGCTTCTAGTACGTGCCTATAATAAAGAATAGTATTATTGAGCATGAGGATAAACCGAGCTGTAGGAAAGAGCCAGTACTGCATCTGTACAGGGAAGTTCTGCCTCTCTACCCCTGAAGTTCTGTGACTTCATTAGTAAGGGTATGAAAAAAGTGGACAGTGGACAGCATATATTTGGATTTTTTTTAAGAAACCCTTGACAGGATCTCTCTTCAAGAGATGTTAAAGAAACTAAGATGACGTAGGGTTGGGAAAAATACTTCTGTGTGTTGAAAATTGGTTAAAGGATAGGGTGCAAGAGTGGTTCTTAACAATTGTATTTCAGGCTGGAGTAGTGAGCTCCCCCAGGAATTGGTGCTGGGACCAGCTTTAGTCAGTGTTGTTCTAAGCCTCTTGGAGGGCGTGCACAGTGAAATATCCAAGGTCTGTAAATACCACAAGTCATTTCAGGTAGTAGTCAAATATCACCCTAAAGGTGAGGACTTCCGGAAGGACCTCATAAAACTAACTGGGTAAAAAAGTGCCAGATAATTTTCAGTGCAGATGTGTGTTAGGTAGGACATCTGAGGGAACAATGGTCGTCTTTATGCTTATATGACATTGAGCTCATTAGCAGATTCAGCTGAAGACAGAAATGTTAAGGTAGTCATCGACAGTTCTCAAAACATCAGCTGTGTGTGCAGTGGCAGCTACAAAAACTAACAAGGTGTTGGCCACCATCAGAAAGGTTCTCAAGGACAAAACAGTATTGCTCACTGCTTTCTAGCACTGTGGTGTGCTGATGTCTGGATGCATTTTGGGTCTCAGCATCTAAAGGAAGATGTAATGACTTTGCGAAAGGTACAAAGAAGGGCAGCTAGAATGATTAAGAGTACATACCAGATGCTTTGTGGGTTAAGACTAAAAAAAATGTGACTCTTAGATGGAAAAGAAGGGTGAAAGGGTGAAGTTCATAATTCACAAAACCATAAAGGTGATAGGCAAGGTGAATAGAGAATTATTATTCACCAAATTCTGTAATGACAGAACTAGAGGTGTGTGTTGAAATCTGTAGGGGATTTGTTTAAAAGAGTTTGAGTTTGTTTTTTTTTTAACATTGGGGGTAGTGAACTTTGGAAATACAGTTACACAGGAGGCTGTGGAAACAGTATTAGCAGATTCATAAAGGTATTAGACAAAAATAAACAGATACTAAAGGAAATAGGTTGGGATGTGTTCACAAACATGCCTAGAGGAATACAATGATCATGAATGCTGGAAGTACGAGTAGAATGGACTTGTACCAGGATCATACGGTCTCTGTAAATAGCATCTGCCAATAATAGTTTCAAAGACACAAATTACTGGTCTAGCTGGACCAATGGGCCGTTAAGCTGATGCAGTTGGGCATTTCTCATCTTTGAAAGACCAAAATTTGTTGCTATTTTTTGTGTTGTTAAAAACATGAGAAAATCTGCCCAAATGTGGTAGGATTTGGGGAGATCTCAAAGTGATATTCGTGCCTAATAGTTAAGTATCAGAGTGAATATATAGATATACTATCAATATCAGCTGTGTTTGCCTTTGCTTCCTCTTGGTCCGTACTTAACTTCAATTTCCTCATTGTATACTTACTCTTTTTTTAATCTTAATGTGGTATGCCTTATAAAATGTTAACATATAATGTTCTTCCTTTCTCTGAAAAATTCCATGGACTTGCACAACTGCTGTTGTGGTTAGCAAAAAAAATCCTCTCTTCTGTGTGTTTTTTCTTGTATCTTCCCCTTATGTTGTTATGTCGTTTTCCAAGTGTATGGCTTATTTTTGTTCTGCAACTTCTTGATACAGGCTTTGTAAAATTGATTTTTATGTTGGGTAAGTTGTGTATAGCCAAAATCAGGAGCACAATTTTAATTTGAAATTCATTATGAATAATGTTTCCTTTTTGCACTGACAGCTGATTGCTAGCTAATGCTTTTGTTTATATGCATGTTTATACAGTATATTTTATTAATACCTAAACATAGCTGTGATTTAAGTATGCTTGGAGGGAATACTTCTGAGTCAAGATAAATTTAAATTGTTATTGTTTTTTTTAACTTGGTGAATCAGATGGGACAATGGTGAAATTGAAAAGCTTAGTCCATGGGACATGGAACCAGTTCCTGATAATGGTAGGTAGAAACTTACTTATTAAAAGAGTTTAATGTGCTTCTCCCTCTTTCCAGTTCCTTCATTTCATGCAGGTAGTGGACCTTAGATGATTCCTGTCTTTCTTGCGACTCTTGCAAGTCATCTGAGCACAATATCCATTGTGCATATCTGCTTAACAGGTGGAACTGATATTGTAATAGTTATCCTTTAAATTATAGAGAATGTCAGCAGGGTGTTTTTGTGCGTTTAGGCAAGAAAGTTCTTAAAGACAGTCTTGCTTCAGATTTGGTGAAATACTTTGAATATACCTATATTTTTTCCCTTTGCATCTCTCAGAGCAATTTTGAAGGAAATACTCTAAATTTATAGCTCTGGCTTATGCAATAAAACCTGCTACTTCCAAATGTCAAGTTTCAAAAAACTAGTTTATTGTAATACATTATAGCATAAGAGGGTGGGGGAAGAATATGTATAAAATAATTTCCAGTCAGCAAATCCTTACTGCATATAGTTTAAAACCAGCAATTTATAAAGTTTGCTGGTCCAATCCAAATTAAGTGTAAATGAAACAGTTGGATTCCTGGTTTGTCTTACTCAGTTCAGTTTTCCAGTGCTTGTCAGTACCAGCTGGGTGGAGGGAGGAAAGCTTGTGAAATACTGAGAGAGTAGTTACTGAATAAGCTGTCAAAAAGGTACTAATTTTCTTAATAACCTTTGCTAGGAGTTAGCTTGTGTCCCAGACACCAGAAAGGCTTACACTATATTTTTTTCTTAAATACAAGTGTATTGTACACATGTGGATGTTCTCAGTAGCCACCTGACTGTCTAATCTTCGAAGTGTTAGCTGGCTGCTTCAGTCATATCTTGTGATGACAAATTCTGCAAACCAGTCTGAAATCAAAACGTGAAATTGAAACCTTTATACATTTTAGTTTATAGAAGACAAGTAATCAGCAGGAGTGGTGTTCTCAACCACTTAAGTTTGATCGCATAAAGGAAGTAGAATTCTTGAAATTGCTACACTGGCAACGTAATGATAGAGATCCTACAGAAGCTAATTTAAATCTGGATAGTATTACATATGTAAGTTGTCATTTACTGGCTATATCAGAGGCAAATTGTAACTTCTTTCATTGATCTGATAAGTTGTTACTTTGCCATGTTAAGAGCTTAAGGTTTGATTGATCTGAGGAGCTGTGATTTTACCATAGGAAAACTGGGAAGGGACACACAAAAAAAAAACCTAAAAGCTAGTGTGTCTCTTGTGGGCAAGGTCAAAGAGTTGAGAAAAACATCCTCTGAACAGGTAAAGGATAAGTACCACAGCAGCCACTAGGCTAGAGGAAGAACAAAGATTTTCTGAAGACAATCTGGAACTCCTTATTTTCTACCTTTCTTTCCAGGCAGAAAATGGCACTCTGTAGGGAAGTAAAGCTCTTACAGAAAGGTTTTGTGCATTTATAGACAGTGTTATTATGTTAACAATATAGTATAAAACAGGGGTTAAACTCCTTCTCCTTTTGCTTTCTCTTCCTTTCTTCAACTGAATGACTTACAGATCAAATTGAAATTGTACCTCACGTTTGCCACTCTTCTCTCAAAATATTTCTTCTTCATTCAGTTTACTAAGATAGATGTATGGGAGAAGAACAACACTGAAGTTGGACTAACTAGCAGGTCACAACTTTAATTTGTTACCTTTTGTATCCTGCAAGCATAAGTTTTGTCTCATGGTTATCAAGAAACAGTATCAGCTGTCAAACTCTTGTCTTGTCAGGGACAATGCTGTCAAGACCAGGAAAAGCTGGTGCATATGGACCTGAAAATTCAGTTTTCAGCAGCCTGCTTACTAAACCACTGTTGGTGTGGACTGGCTTTGCATATATTAACTGTCTGTACCTGTACTGTAAGCACTGCGACTCTCCTTCTGGGGGTTCACTTTTCTGTGACCCATTTACTCCTGAAGATTAGACCACATGGTCATACTATATATATATATATATATATAACATGGCAGGAGTCATGACAAGTCGTCTGTGTCACATGTACCAGGGTGCTGCAAAGAACACAAAGCAGAGATCTTCACATGCTTGTTGAGAAGGACAGTGTTTTGCATTGGCCAGATTGCATTAGTCTTTGGAAACATGGCTCTCCACAGAACCATACATCACAGCTTTATATTTCTACTAGTTCTTATTGCTTTGAAACGATTAATCTGCCATGTTCAAAACATATTTTTTAAAATGTCCAAAAGATCACAGTTATTAATACCAGGAAGGATGTCACAAAGTATATTGCCTATCTTGCACATGTTTAAAGGTTGGGGGCACAAATTGACTCATTAAACTAAGTTACGATCCTGTGAAGTTTACGGCGTGCATTTAAAACAAAAGCATATAAACAACTCTTCTGAGTTTTAAGTCCTCTTTTAAGTCTAGTGCTTAGATGAAGAAAAGAAAGAGTCTTCTGGAAATTCAGAACTGCAAAAAAGGCGAATAAAGGGTATCTTTGCTGTCGTATGCATTTTATGTACTTCTTTTCCCCATAGTCTTAGCATCAAACTCCACTTTAAAGCAAGAATTTTTTTGTCAGTTATGAGCATACGAGTATTTAATAAGTGTGAGTACTTAACAATTTATCTTGTTGTTTTATGTTCACTTCTTACCCTTTCGTATTTGCTATCACTCTTCAGTTGATCAGCCTGAAGAATTAGGAGCTAGTGTTTCCGTGACTTTTGAAGAGGTGGAGAAGCTACTATACAAACCCCAAGAAGGGGAGTGGGGGATGAGATCTCGTGATGAAGCATGTGAACGGATTATCAGTGGTATTGATCAACTTCTCACTCTTGGTGAGCATGTAATCTAAGCTTTAGGTAGTTTTCTCCTAACATTACATTTATAAACAGGTCCCTGGAATATCCATGCATCCTTTAAAAATTCCCTGTGATAAAGTACTGTAAATGTTCATACGTTTTTATGTGCAGTTCTTTCTGTTTGTCTGTACTGAGATTTTTATATTTTTATGCATCATTGGTTTTGTCAAGAATAATTATACAAAGCAATTGAACTCCTGGTTCTATTGTCATATGCATACAAGCCTTGAAATAGTTTAATTAATCTTGCTGTTTCTTAACAGATATTTCAGCAGCTTTTGCTGGTCCAGTTGACCTGTGTACATATCCCAAGTACTGTACCGTGATTGCTTATCCAACAGACCTGAACACTATTCGGACAAGACTGGCTAACCGATTTTACAGGTTAGTACTAGCAGTAGAAACAAGGGAGAACGTGGCCTCGAGTTTGTACATTGTGAGAAGATCTAAACTTTTTTTTAGTAAGAAGAGCAATTATTCTTTCTACAAACATTCTGAAAACCAATAGTCCAGTATCTGAATTCAGCATTACTAGTTTTTGTAGCAGGGCTCTAATGCTTGATAACTGCAACGTTATACTCATTTTTATTAAGTTTCTTAGTTCTTAAGGAAATTGATTTCAGCCTATATTGGTACTGTTTTCAGAGTTACAATAAACACTGACATTCTTTCGTTGAGAAATTTACTATTTGAAATTAGTAAATATTAAAAGAAATTGAAGTTAGTTCAGTGCTGAAGACTTAATTCAGATTTTGAAGTGCTTTACTTACTTTGAACTTGAAGAGGGTTAAGCTCTTAAGCGCATATTACTTTCAGAAATGGGCTTAAACACAGAGGTGAAATTTTAAATATTACCACTGACAATTTTAAATGATAAAAACTTATGGTAGAGAAAGAGGGTAGAAAGTGAAGTGTAGTGATGATAAAGTTCCGATTTGCTGGATGTGCTGGGTATCCATAGCTCCAAAAGAAATTGAAGGGTGTTCGTCATCTGGACTTGCATTCAGTGTGTCTGTAAATACAGTGAAGAGACATTAATAGTTGTTTTCCTCCTACATAAGACTGAAATAATGTCTTGGGAAATAGTTTGAAATTCTATAGGTGAAGAGCTGCAAACTTGGGGTATTTCTGCTTCACAGTTACAAGGAATCGGATAAATGAATGAAAAAAATGAAATTACACAGTTGTGCTAGCTCATTTCTATCAAGTTACAATTTTAATTTGTAGCAGTTTCTACAAATCTGTCATCTTATAGAGGGCACTACTTTGGTCATTTGGCCTCAAAACAAGGTATTTGAGGGAAGACAGAAAAGAACATCATAGCTGAGATGTCTTTAAAAATGTACTTAGACTAAGCTTTTTGTCACTCTCTTTTTAATTGCTTGTGCCTTGTGTTTCTTAGTTAAGAATTACTAAGATACTACACAACTTGTGTTCTATTTGACAGGGCTTTGTGACAAGCAACTTCTGATGTCATGAATAAATGTTATAATTTACAGTGGTGGTTAAATAGTACTTTTTTTCTCTCCTTTTTGAATAAGGTCAAATGTAAGCTTTTTAAAAAATGCATGCGTTTTTAAAGAATCCAGGGAATCCACAATCCTCATTGTTTTTTCAGTGAAATTTTGTAATTTAGTGGTAACAAATGCTAGTGCTTACTTGGCTGGTTGTATTAACTGAATTTTAAGAATGAAACCAAAGCATGCTAGAATTTCACAAACTTTCTGAAGATGAATTATCACTAATGGATTGGAAAAAGAGTGAGCAAAGATGTTCATTGTTGGTTTTGCTTCCTTGAGTGAGTGTGTGTCTGTGTGTGTGTGTACATATACAGACACACATATTTCAGTTTTCCATGTGAATGAAAAGTTTGAGACTGGTCTAATGAGACTTAAAACGAAGGACATCTATCTTAATCTAAAGTGGACAGAAAATTACTAAGAGATCATTTTTGCAGTTTTGAAGCTTTTCAGCTTAGTGTTAAAGGTGCAATGTTTTTTAATTTTAAGGAGAATCTCTGCATTGGTTTGGGAAGTAAGATACATTGAAAGCAATGCTAGGACCTTCAATGAACCTGGGAGTGCTATTGCTAGAGCTGCAAAAAGGATCACTACCCAGCTCTTAAAGTTTATCAAGTAAGTGGCATTTTAATCTAAATAGTGCTTGAATACTCATGCTCTTAAACGGTGGGAGAGTATAAGCATCTTAATATCCCTTTGTTGTGAGTCCTGCTTCTTTTGATTTCTTAATATTTTTCAATACACTGCAGGACAGTTGTGTAATTCTTTTTGAGTATTATCTTAACTAGGGAAATAGTTACATGTTCAGCATAGAGACATTTTAACTTTTTCCCTAAGTAGCATTCACTGGTATTTATAGTATCAAAATGTCACTTGGCATGAAAGTAGCTCAACCTATAAAGTAAGTTCTGTGCTGTCTCGCACATGTGTAGAAGTTCCTGTTGCAGCTTGTCTGACTTAGGTTCAGTTGAGAGGTTTATTTTTGAAAGTAGTTAGTGTAGGCAGTCTTCCTGCAGGTAGATCAGGTGTGAATGCCCCTTTCAAATCCCTAATGCTAATTTCACCCTCCTCCCCTCACTTTTTCTGAAATGCACAGTATAGCACTTTTCAGGTGTAACATTACTTTGTTAATATTATAATAATCTTGTGATTTTTATACTTCATTTAATTCTTAGTTACTGTCTTCCAGTTTATGTGTAGCTTTTCATTGTGGCTGGGTTTAAGCTAGGAAATGATGGCTATGTTTTTCCTATTCCAGTAACAGAGATTTAATTGCATTACAGTGATCAGGACTGTACAAACATTTTTGAACTATGTAGCACAACAGATGATGAACAAGATTGTCTTGATGCTGATCTGGTAAGCTTTTTTGTGGATACTTCTAATAAGGTATGGTAGTAAGAAAATACCACCAGCCTTCAAATATTTTTTGTAAAATTGCTCAATTATTTTTATAGAGATATTTGTGTATATTTATACATTTACGTAGATAATATAAACATGGAATGTATTATGAATGTAGGGAATGATGTGAGGAGATGGCTTATTAAAATAATTTTGAGTTGTCAATATTCGTGAAGAAGTATAACAAATATGCATTTTGTATTATGACTGTGTGCCATCAATTAGAAAATTTTTCCGTGTTTTGAGTGGCACTGTATTTCTGAAGCATGTTAATGTGCAGTAATGTAATACAAATATTTCAAGAGTACATGAATAGCTATCTTTCATTATATTTTTAATTATATGCGTCTGGTTATTTCTAAGGTCAAAATTGTCATTCATACAGTTATAAATGCTAAAAGCTGACAAGTTGTAGAACTGTTGCAGTGATGCTTTGGCTCTCAATTTCTCTGTATACCACAATATTAATCATGCATCAGATTTGCATGCCTCATTGAGAATTTAATAAAGTGCATTTATCTTAAACCTGATAGAGGTAAATAAGCACTGTTGTTATGCAGTGAATGCTATCTGCAGTGCTGTATGTTTATTAATAGTGTACCCAAAACTGCCCAAACTGATGTCTTTTTCACATTTTGATTTCTAATTTGGCATTTACTAACAAGACTTCATAAAGTTGCAAAGCAGCTGCTCTCCCTTGCAGGTTAATATGTAGGGAAGAAATGACATTGAGTCGTTGTGGTTCTTTATCTTGCTACTTCAGCATCACCTTAGTACTTCAACATTGTAAGGTTTTTCTTTTTACCAAAAGTAATTTGATCACAAGATGTCTTTTCCTAAACTCAGGACAAACAAAAATCAGAAAGTCTTACAACATTTATTATCAGTGAATTGAATTACTGATAATCTTTAGTCATTGAGGTTCAAAGCTGATGGGTATCTTCTCATTGCAATATTTGGTTGTGGTTTTTCCTTTGTATTAAGGACAAGAGTTGGAGTTGGGAAACTTCAGTGGTGGTATCTAGGATCTTGCTTTCCAAGTCTGTAAAATGCTGTGTTGTATTTTTGATATGTTTCTCTTCTGTCTTATTGAGATAAATTAGAAAAAAATCTATTTTTACCACAGTATCAAATCTAATGACACTTTGAGCACCTGATACCTATTTCTTCATACATAATTTTTGAGATGATTGATTTTATTTTGTGCAGGATGATGAAAAATGTCTTCCAAGAACATCATATAGAAGAAGAAAAGTGAGTTGGCTAATCTTTACCATATATATGCAAATCAGGTCTGGCAGGAAAAATTGGTTAACAGACTGTATTGAAATTCTGTGGGAGTGATGCTTGGTTTTATAACAATCATAGAACAGAATTTTTCCGAGGGTATTAAGGAAGTAAAAGGTTTCCTTAAATAGGTCTTTGCTGATTTAATCCTTCTATACTCATTCCGTATAGTTGTCTAGGAAAAACTTACTTATGCGTTTGATACCGGTGCTGTTCAGCGTAAGTTTTCAGTTACCTATATGATACTGAAATAAAAGCATTGTTCAGCTGAGATGCTTGGAAAAAAATATTTTGAGTGGTGGATATTACTCAAATCTTTTGAGAATAATTTGGTATCATAAGGTATATTTTTGTGTGCCTTAGTTATTTAGTATAAAAAACCAAACTTGTAAGATAGTAAAAGAAAATTGTATAATTTGTCAGATTAGGAAAAAATCTGCTAGTAGTGTAGTGCCCTTTTTGTATGTTTGGAAGGGCATTTTTCTGCTACAGAAATAATTCCAGACAGATTATCACGTTTAGTTTTTCTTCCTATATTTCAGTAATGCTTTTTTCTAACTTTTTTCCCAAGGGACGGGGCTTAAAAAAAGGAAAAAGCGTGAAAACTGGCTATGATGAAAACTGTTGGAAGAAGCAGTGTATGGAACTGGTGAATTTAATTTTCCAATGTGAAGATTCTGAACCTTTCAGGCAGCCGGTTGATTTGGATCAATATCCTGTAAGTTATTCTTATTAACCTTGTAAGATATTGTTGTGGTTTAACCTGGCAGGCAGCCAAATACCACGCAGCTGCTCACTCACTCCCCCCTCCCAGTGGGACGGGGAGAGAATCGGAAGGGTAAGAGTGAGGAAAAACTCATGAGTTGAGATAAAGACAGTTTAATAGAACGGAAAAGGGAAAATAATAATGATAATGATAAAATATACAAAATAAGTGATGCACAATGCAATTGCTCACCACCCGCGCTGACCGATAACCAGGTAGCGATCGGTACTTCCTGGATCACGCCTACAATTCATATACTGAGCATGACGTCATGTGGTATGGAATACCCCGTTAGCCAGCTGAGCTGGCTGTCCTGATTATGTTCCCTCCCATCTTGTGTACCTAGCTCAGTCAGTAGGCATGGGAGCTGTCCTTGGACTAGGAGGGTACTTAGAAACAACTGAAAACATCAGAGTGCTATCAACATTCTCCTCATACTAAATCCAAAACACAGCACTAGCAAGAAATTTCGAAACCAGGACAGATATAAATATTATTTGGTTTTTCTTCTCTTAGCATTTGGTACCACAATAAGATCTCCACGTTGCTCTTGGACCTATTTGTTCTCTTTGTGGCTTTAGTCTCAAAAAATTTGCTTTGCTCTGTGCTTAGAACAATGAGCTGTATGCTCTACCGCATCAAGATAACATGCATCAAAATATTGACGGAACAGAAAACAATTGTAGAGCAGTGGTGGTGTCTACAAATATCCTGATACCTTAAATATGGTTTGAAACCATTCACAATCTTTTTTTGCTTGCTTTCTTACTGTTCCTTATAGGGAAATAATTTTAGATAAATCTGTATGTTCTTAATTAAAATTAGTTTCTTGAGGGACAATCTACAAAACCTGTTTACTAAGCCTGAGCTATGACCTTGATTTGTTTCTTCTCTTTCTTTTAGCTCTTCAGTCTCTTGCTAACTCTTCAGTCTCTTTTTGTCTAAAAACCCAACAAACTTTCAAGGAAGAAAACTTCCTATGAACTTCACATCTAGAGTTAGAGTCTCACTTCAGGTTTTAAAAACGTCTTGAGGTTCCCTAAAACTCATTACAGGAGAGAAAGATAGTGGTGTTTTGATTTGGTTTGGTTTGTTGTTTGTTTTTTTTTTTTTTCAACCAGATCAGTTTGTTTCTCATAGTAAAATGCATCAGGGAAAGGATTACATGACAACTTACAGCAGTCTCATTTCTCATTTTGATTAACAAAACGTTGACTTGTATGTTACTGTTACTGGATAGTTTTTATTGAGGAAACTCAGGAGAATTGAAACTGGAAATCTGCATGTGCAAGCATGTGGCATTGTATCAACTCATGATCCTTCAGAAATTCTGAAGACGACCTTGAAAATGAGCAAGAGCTTGTATGGGATGATGTAGTGGAGACTTTAAATCAACTAGTCTCAGCAAAAGCATTGCTATCTGCTGTGGTAGGTGCTTCTGTTTTCAGCTGATGGTTAAGATAATCTGTGGTAATCTTAGCTACCCTTAAATTACAGAAATAAAATTCAGGAGTGTTGTTTTTCCTTTATACCTTCTTGAATCTTTTTTTCAAATGTTTTATCTAGGATTACAGACATATTATAGACACTCCAATGGACTTTGGTACAGTGAAAGAAACTCTGGAAGCTGGAAATTATGACACTCCAATGGAACTGTGCAAAGATATAAGACTAATATTTAGTAATGCGAAATCTTATACTCCAAACAAAAAGTCAAAGGTAGCTGTTAATATTGGGGGTTTTATGCTTGTCTTAATGGAATGAGGTGGTATTTTGTAATTAGTTTGTTTATCAGTACTTTTGATAAAGCTGCTGGTTGGATAAGATAGTGGGGAAAAGTATGACAAAAATATTTAATATGTTCATTTCTTGTTTATCTAGTGTTACATAGGATTGTGTGCCATGCTTTTTCTATTTCTTTTTTGTACAGTTTTTAATTTTAGAGATGTTATTCTTGGATGAAAGGTTCTGTTTTTAATATAAGACACTTCCTTACCTAGATTTATAGTATGACCTTGAGATTGTCAGCACTATTTGAAGAAAAAATAAGAAGAATTGTTTCAGATTTCAAAAATGGTCAGAAACAGAATGAAAAACTACGAAGAAACCAGAGGTATACTAGAAGATTTCATAATCAAAGCTCAGTGCAGCATCCTACCAAAATGCTCAGGTAACCAAATTGTGAAGATGTAGAGTTATATCACAGCTGACTAATATTCATATTGACTGTCATATTTAGTCTATGAAGAAGAGAACAATTGGTTAGCAAAATGGTTAACTCACTCCAGTGAGACTTACTTTAATTACTTCTCTTGCAGTAGGAAAGACAGGCAAAAAAAAGCGGGTTTTTTGTAGTATAAAACTGGCTATGAAACAGCAAAGGGACTTCTTGTGGTTTAACCCTGGCTGGCAACTAAGCACCACACAGCCACTCACTCACTCCCCTCCCTGGTGGGATGGGGGAGTGAATCGGAGAAAAAAAAAGTAAAACCTGTGGGTTGAGATAAAGATGGTAATAGGACAGCAAGTGAAGAGAAAATAATAATGATAAAAGAATATACAAAACAAGTGATGCACAATGCAATTGCTCACCACTCGCTGACTGATACCCTGCCAGTCCCAGAGCAGCAATCATTGCCCCCTGGCTAACTCCCCCCAGTTTATATACTGAGCATGACTGCATATGGTATGGAATATCCTGTTGGCCAGTTTGGGTCAGCTGTGCTGGCTGTGCCCCATCCCAGCTTCTTGTGCACCTGGCAGAGCATGGGAAGCTGAAAAGTCCTTGACTATGTAAGCACTACTTAGCAACAACTAAAACATCAGGGCATTATCAACATTATTCTCATCCTAAATCCAAAACACGGCACTATACCAGCTACTAGGAAGAAAATTAACTCCATCCCAGGTGGAACCAGGACAGTATCCACCACTTACTCTATACCATCTACATCATGCCCAGGTCCTAACCCTTTCCAATACATTCCAATTAATCGCCACC